CATATATTGACAAACAGTGGCCAGATGGATCATATTTTCGGTTCTCTTGATAGTTAGAATTAGCTAGTGCTCACTAGAAATAATCACCGTTATGGAATACGCTACTGTGACAGAGAATATTAGTGTAATAAGTAGAAGTATTTAGTTATTATCAAAGAAAGGAGATTGATCGATGGGAATCTGGTTTTTTTAAACGAATAAATAAAGCTGTCCCGAAATTCGATTTTTCAATTCCTTAGTTGAAGAAATATGGAACAGATTACTAGTATTGTTTATTGAATTACATTTATAAATGTTATTATCCCTAAAAAGCGCAGCAAATTTATTTACTTGTTTTAATTTGGTATTTTTTCAACTTTTTTTTAAAAGGAAATCGGGATTAACAACTTGAGAACTCGACTCAGTTACTATTAGTTGTAATTTTATTGATTCAGATAAAAAAAACCCACTGAGCAACGCAATTCGTGTCGGTCGTTCTGGTTTTGTGTCATTAACAAAACAAAAAAATAACACCTAATAATAATTAAAAGTATGTTATTTATTTCCAGTTGTTATTAATCACATTTAAAACGCAGTCAACTATTTACTACAATTAGACAGGTGGTAAATTAAAAAAATACGGTGATACAATATGTATTTTTTAAGCTTGGTCAAGATGATATCCCCAAGAAAAATACAATTAAAGAGCCCAAAGAAATTCTAGGATTACTTTGTATGAAATACAGTGAAATGCTCAAATAGATGAGTGCCGCTTTAGTTGATGCCCTACATCAGTTCTTCATAAAATTTCAACGTAATTTTGATTGAATATTTATTAGTTACTGATGGAAAGTTTATATAAGGAATGTCCTATTAAAAATTTATGACATTATGTCGCTCTATGAATTTTTTCCGAACTTTCGAGTGAGGAGATGGTTTCTCCGAGACATTTGGGGTTTCCATTATCTATATATTACTGATAATTTGATCATTGAGTCACTTATTTTAGCTAACTTCACAGGTTAATAAACTTGAGATGATAACGGTAGGGATCTTCGTTCATTTCGGTCAAAGTATAACAAAACTATCGTACTGAATGTTAAAATCAGGGTAACGATGAACATAGACCATACGGAAACAAAAATAATTCTAAGTTTAATAGGACTGAAAAAGATTTGTCACCAAAAAGTAAATTTTAATTTTAATAAATCGTGAGTGTTGTTATGAATTGCATTAAACAGTTGGTTATTTTTAGAAATCACTTTATGAACCTCCGACTTACACGTCCAATCCACAAGACATTAGGTACACGTCAGAATAAGGACTTGAACGATGACCACTGGCTGAAGCGGATTTCAGCATAATCTTTTCCTTTATTACTCACAACTTATTAACGCGACCAAGTTTCAGAAATAAGGGATTCCAACTTCCTCAGGTGGTGACTTTGTACCTAACAATTATGTTTAAATGTCAAATGTCTTCTTTAGCTCTTACATTTCTGAATGCACCCACTAGGAATGAAGACCAATGCGTAGGATGTTTAGGTAAAAGAGTTAAAGTTTGGTTTTGTGTGAGAGATCCTCACTAAAAAGTGTAAATCCTTCTTGTCCTTCCTGCCTATTGGAGACTAAATTCGGTTTCTAGAGACTTTAGAAAGTGATAGACATTCACAAAAATTCAATAAGCGAAACACCATGAAACTACGTAGTAGAAGAAAGAAATATATCCAACATGATACGACCATGATATCAGTAATTAGTTACAACCTTTACAACATAGTGTGAAAACAAGTATATCCCACAGTACCTTCGGTGAAAGACTACTCAATCTAGATTTTGGATACTGTCACTTGAAATGTGAATAATTCCAGTCCATATGTTTTCATATTTTGGTGAATCGAAATAAACAATACAGTAGTTTTGGATTAACACCTACTTAGAGAACTATTTAGTTGACAAAGACGAAATACTATGTCGTTAGTCTGTTAAGTTATGAAAGTATGTGACTAAGTGAATCACCCTCTTGTCTTGATAGATTGAAGATGATTGGATTGGGTAAGGGTTTTGAAAAGAGATAGTACATTGGTGAAGATAACAATGTTCAGATTCACACAGATTAGCATTTGAACGAGAATCAAAGGCCTACTTACTGCTCACAAATAGTGAAGTGTTTAATAGAGATCAATTCATTTCTCTACTATATATATATATATATATATATATATATATATATATATATATATATATATATATATATATATACTAAGTATATCATAAGGATTGTGATAAGGTGTATCAATTCAACTTTAAATGTCTCATCATGTGAGCAAATTATTATAGATATTATAGCAGCATAAATAAATTATCACTGTTGTCTACTTCTAATGAAATTTAATCATTTTATTGAGTTTGATAAAAAAGTCTTTTCAAACACATTTCTATCATCTGATGTTAATTTTGATTGAAGTGAATAGACTTTATAAAGCTAAAAACATGAGAAAATCTAATTAACATAGAATTAAGTTTCTTTGAAGTTTATTTAACGTTATCCTTTGAACATCAGGATGTGTCTGAATGGTTCAGTAATTACATTTTTTGTCCTAATCGGTTTAATTTTGATATAGTAGATAACATTTACATATAATTCAATATAAAGAGGTTGAAAACGAACTAGCTATTCCACCTTATCTTAACAATTACTGAAGAAGTATACACTTAAATTAATCCATTCCAGAGAAGGAGATATTCAAATTATAGTCGATATAGCATTCATGGAAAGTGGAACTTCGAAGATAATATAACTGTCAAAACAGGTGACGAAATTTTTAGAAATTTAGTGACTGACATTAAAGCGATTTGTGGGTATCAGCCAGGTTTTAACTTGACGAATGGTCACGTGACTTGGAAAACATTCCTTCTCGGTGTTAAAATTATAGACAATTTTTTCAAAAAAGACAAAAGTATGAAAAGGAGACCTCAAATATTGCAAAAGTTCCTTTAAGTCCTTTTGTGCTTGCATTTATATTCCTTCTAGTAATATTCATTTGGAATAATCTTTTATTTTAAGGATGATTAAGATTGTGCAGTATTCCTCAATGAAGATTGGGGGGGGGTAACAATCGAAATATGGCATGCGATTACTATGTGGAGTGGCACCATAATGCAGTACTTTGTTATTATTCAGATGCCACTAAATGAACCAAAAATTAAATTTTCCTTATCCAAATGAAAAAAAATGCATTAGACATTTAATAATTGACTACGTAATCTAAATTATATTAGATGGTACGAGTTGCCTTAAACCTTGTGACAATTCTTAGATATCAGTACTTACGACAGTAAAATCTGAAATAAACAAGATTAATGAAACATCTTACACAGCGTACAAAGGATGAGAAGAACAAAATAGTGGCAAAAATAAAGCAATAATCCAGAAACTTTCAGAGAGTTTATACCCCCCTATGTACTTACCCTTATAAAAGTACATATTTCGTCACTTATACAATTTAGGATCCTGGTTAAGATTTGCCACTTCTATGAATCGATTTAACAATCTAATCTTCGATAAAAAGAAAAAAATTCAATTCTGTTATTACCCTAAAACGTTTCTAGAAAGCAGTATCAATAAATGTATTAAATGTTTATTTCACTTGGTAGATCCTAGTGGTTATTCTTAATAGGATTCTAATCAGTTCTGGTACTTACAATTCTCTTAAAATTTCATTTAGTTTAAAGTTTTTGTTCATGATGGTTTTAGATCATTGTCATAGCATAATAAATGTTTGTATTTATCAAGAGTATCTTGAGAATTAAATCAGTGACTTGAATCATATTTCGCTGCAATAGGAGTAAATCGTTTTCCGCACTATAAAGTCGAAGATTAGTACGTAACCTCATTTAATAATAAGAGTCTCGAATCCATTTTTGTGATGCAATGTTTTCTATCCTCCTATAGACATGTATTTTCCATATAACTATATATACGAATGTACAGCTTTAGTAAATGATTTCGTCGAAAAGAAAATTTTCTCTGAATTTGCTTTTACTTATTCGAAGCTAATTTTTCAAAAAAACTGTATATTATATTTGTATAATACTCAGAGAGCGTAGCCGTAATTCCCAGCAGTCTATGCATTGTAATAATTGTGCTCCATTCTCCTTCTTATCATTCATTACTAGGGTACTCAGATGCATGTTTATTTAAAGTGTTGACTCACATCGCAACAAACTATGCTAAATTGAGTTTATAATTTGACGTTCGAAAATTACAGGATTTAAGAAGCTTCAACTATAACTCACTAAATAAGATGAATTTATATTATTCAGTTCAAGTTTAATTACTTTTGACTTCATGTGAATAGAATAAAAATGGACTCAAACCATCTGATGGTCATTAGTATGTAATTTGGCACTTTATCTTACAAGGAAGTCAAATATGAATCGATATGGAATAAGTGTCATTTACCGTACATCTCCTAATAAATATTACTGTCGCTCATCTAGACATTTTTAAAGTCTTAATGACATCTTATCTCCTTAGCTGAACATTAAATGATTAAATTGTTTAGCTAGTGGTAGTAACAAAACTATGAGTCATCCTGTGTCACCAATGTCTGCAATATTTAATTTTCTAGTAAATTATGAATTTGTCCTAGAACTATTGCTTCTCACCTTTATCAAATATATTTCATTACTATCATCATAATGTGGAGGAAAAGAGACATTATTCGGCTTGTGAAGTGTTTGAGGTAATCATAACTTCACCGACAGAGATCAAACACTAAACTTTATCTCACTGTAGCTTCACGGCTCAGTTTCACAGGTTAATATAAATGACCGTAATTAATGGAAATAAATAAACTGGACACAAGATTTAGTCTTTAAGTTCAAACAGGAATGTTTGTTTTTATTCTGTTGAGTAAAACGGTTCACATAAAAATTGATTTAGTCTTAGTTGAATAAAATAATTGAAATTGGACAATACATTTTAAAGTTATTTGCTCATCATGCATTAAAGATTATTCATTTAGTTTCTACTACCCATAATGGTTCTGGACCACGTTTAGCGTACGCACCAGCAAATGTTGCATCCTCACACTGACTTAATATATTCTCCATGGTTTCTATAGAGTAGCGGATTCTACTGATTTGAGATGTGGAACAAATTTCATTTGACTTAGTTTTACTTGCTTCGATTGTTTGCCAAATGAAAACATACAAAGTGATTGTTATCCAGAGTAAAAGTTTTGTTGACATCTAAACAATAAAGTGAAGCAGGGTAATAGAATAACTATATAGTGTTACATGGTAGAACTATTTATACATTGTATTTTAATTAATTAGAAGTGAAATGTAACTAGAGTTTAACAATACTTACTTTCTTATAGACTGACAAAGAATTCTGTAATGCCATTTCTAAGGTTATTCATCAGAGAGTTAACAGTCTTTAAAGGCTAGTAGTTTTTTAAATGTCTAGTTACCTTTACATAAAGTCAGAGTGACAATTATTTAAATTTAAAAAGAAAAAAATGTCTCAGAATACAAGTTGGTTCATAGTAATAAAGTGACAATTTCGATAATATTTCCCATCAGATAATATGGTTTGTAAAGGATATCATTAAGAAATCAGTTGTAGCAAGATGTTATAATTTATGGGAATAACAATATAATTTTTAAGGGAGGACATCAAAGAAGATGTTTTAGAATTTTCAGCAACTAATGTCATGCTGGATAATTACAGCATTCAATTCGAATTATTGAACAATAGTTCAGTTATGAAGAGATCAACTAATATTTAAACATGATCTTTTTCAAATGTAAATGTTTGTGTTTACAATTTAGATAAGAAAAAGAAAGAGATAAATATATTTGTGAAGAAACGAAAAATGCTTTTGACGTTTATCGACGCTTATAAGCTACCATTATTTACATAAAGTCAGTTATCACTTTTTTCAAAATCTTCATAATATGTAGTTCATGAAGACTAATCTATTATCTGACAGAACTCAAATGTTAATTAACAAAACTACTTATTTAGATATACCTATTTTAATATAGACGGAATATAAACTAATGTCAGGAGTGTTAGCACTATGTATTAACTTATTTTAATTAATCCAATAGTAAAATATCAATATTTCAGATTGATAGCAAGCAAGATTAATGATACTAGTTTACAGAATAGAAATCAATCTTCATTCTGCCTTTTTTTACTTACATATTATTATTCATTTGGTCTACAAGATGTTAGCAACAAGATTCAATGAGTTAAACTTCACCAAAGATTTAAAGGTTTAGAATATTTATTTTTATGCCTGTTATATCCCGAAAAGAATTATGAATGGTAACTCTTGAGAACTATTTATGGACCGATACGATGCATATATTTTTATTGTATAATTGTTAAGTAGCTAAACTATACATATTCATGTTCCTCTTATTTTATTTTGACCCATAGACTATTATTATACGATTTACCATTCTTGAGTTCTACCCACTCTATTAATTACAGTCTCCCACATTCACAGCCACTTTTGGCTACATCTTGTACAGATGTTATTTTCGATTTTATGGTACCATGTGGTCTGTTTGGTTGGTATATAAACCCAATATGTTTGAAATACATGATTTATACCACAGAGGCTGAGATTGGTGTTCTGGACTTGATAGGCAGGGTTAGACAGGAAGAAGGACCGATAAGGACTGTAGACTGCTCGTACGGGTTTGTGCGTCATTGGTCCGATCGATAAGTTACCGTTTTCTAATTGGCGGTATTATTACGTTATATTTTAATAGGCCGTAAGTCCACAAGTTATAACAATGCCATAGCATTAATTTTGTATGCAATAAAATAATATTCATTTATATCCTAAAAAAGTAATCATCCATATTAAAACTTTTAAGTAAATGATATACATACATGTACAGTATGACAGAGCATTTCATAATTTTATCTTAATAAATATGTTTAGTGAGAAAGAGTAGTTTGTGAGCCTGGATTTTCAAAATTATTCCCGATTTAAACCTTTCGAGTTTGTTACTACGCTGAGTTGCACTTTATATTTTGTATTTACTTTAGCTTATCACTCATTTATTTTAACTCAGTCTATTTCAAGCAAAGTGGACAAATAAACTATGAATATTATCAGAACGCTGAGGAGTACCATACTAGGACGAAACGGGCATGCAGTGCTTCCAGGTTTTCAATAGCGGCCTAGCTTAGACTGACTCGTGAATTCAACTACTAAACTATGGATACTTTATTTGATTTTATGTGCAAGTTGAATCATATGAAGAGAATTTTTAAACCTTAATCAGTCATTATTATCTTACAATATCTTTTCATGATAGCTGTTCGATTATTACTTCGACGTCTTCATATATGTTAAGTAGACAGTTACCTGTCACATTTCTGACCCGTAAATTATTTTCATCCTTCTATCCTTTTCTAACCTCTCGATTAGTATCCAACCTAATTTTGATATTTGAAATTTCGGACCACTATATGTAATCTCTTTCTATTCTACTACAGAATCACAATTCTTAATACGAATGTACGACTTTAGTAAATAACTTTGTCGAAAAGAAAATTTTCTCCACCGAATTTTCATCATTTTCATTCATCCAGACAATGGCTTTCCTTAATATTTAAATATTTAAGTGAAAAGAAATTTATACACACTTTCATGTATATTTGAACGAATATTTTCACAGTAGTTGGCCTTGGTAGTATAGTATGATAAAAAAAATGGAAGTCAGTGTTTAAAAAGACCTTAACGTTCCACTCGGTAGTCTGGCTGTAACTACTTCAGTGACATAATGAAAAGTCAAATTTATCCATGAACTTGATTTGTGAAACAGTCTATAGTCTTGCACAGAATTCACTTGTATATGTTTGTGAAATTTATAAAAATCGCAGATATTAATAAGCTAGTGCTTGTATACAAGATGTGTAGTGTATTTAGTAAAATTTTCAACTATTCTTTTTCGAACTCTAGTATTTCAGTACTTCACAGATTGAATTTGGCTATTTATTAACAAAGAGTCCTTTTTTTTATTATCAAAAACCTGATTTGCAACCAAAGTTGAGCATAAATAAGTAGTGATGTACAATTTTTTAAAATCTTTAGAGCTGCAAATTGTATAGAAATTATAAAAACTATAAAATAATAATTAAGAGACAACTTACAGCTTAGATTATTTGAAAAATTAGTTGGACTGTAGTTTTCCGAAAAACACGGTTAGTTGTTATGACGATACGCATATATTTATATTTTTGAATCAGACTTTATATGAATTTTGAAAATGTGTGATTGGTTGTCTAAACTGTTTGAGCCAATCATAGAGTTTTAAACTGTTAAGGGGGTTTCAAGTTTTGCTTAACACATGCACCAAAAAAACAACGAAAAATAATGTCTTATGTGTAATTTATGGAGTTAAAGTGAAACTATTTCACTACAAACAGAGATGGATAATGATTAACAGTGAGTCTCATCCTATTTTGGAATGGTCAGCTGAATTCGCCTGCATCTCATAGCTGATGTTCACTCCGTCACTCCAACTGAATACCGCTCGCTTCAAATATCATTGCATTATCCACTTAGCTACTGAGTTCGGATAGCTAATGCTAGCCACTATCCGTCTTTGCTTATAATGCTTAAGACTTAGGTAATATCAAGGCGATCCGCATAGGAAGGACAAGGGCCGATAAGAAACTGATCACTTTCAATCCTCAACATCAGAGGGATGATACAAACTATCAAAATGAAAATAAATGAAACTATTTCACGTTCCAAATAGACCATTTTATAGGAATCGAACTATTATGTTAGCCGTCGCAAAAGCCTTTAAAATTATAAGCTGTTGAAGTTTTTAAAATCAGTTCTTTATGTAAAAGACGAAAGGATTTTTAATGGATATAAACGTGAACCTCGTATCATTTTTAGTTAGATTAGAATTTATTTTGGATTTCAGTCAACCAGTAAACATTAGTTTAAAATTATATTAAGTCTTAGTGTGATTACTTATAAACTGATTGAACAATGTTTGAAGCAATTCAAGCTGAGAATCAATGTTATTATTCACATCACTAAGACATCAGTGGCATGCAGTTCCCTTTTTAATTAAATGAGCCTTTAGGATATTTTTAAATCACACTGGCTCATTTGTCCATTGTGCAGTAAAGTTATCTTCATTCTGAATTAATTCGGTTCTTAGGTAGAAGGTATTCTGCGTTAAGTATGGAGCTTTACAAGTTTTACATACATAATTCAAATGAAGTTGATAAAAGGTAGTATGAAATAACTGATCTAATGTAATCAGTCTTTATGTTCATTCTAAAAACAATATTAGGGTCTCTTGAAATAGTTGAATATTCGTATCATAAATTGAAATTGTCACCAGTCTGTTTTTAAAGATATAGCCTTGATATTTTCAGAGATCAATAATGTAGTGCTTTACAAGCATGCGTGTTTTTGCAATGCTGTTGTCTTTCTTTTGACAATGAACAGTTTTATTTCTCTCAAGCTTAGCTGAATCACTCACGTGAACGTGAAACTTTGTATTAAATCTAACTTAGTTACGCCTGTTACCCCTCATCGAGGACCATAGGCAACCCACCAGTATTCTCCATCCCACTCTATCCTGGACAATACTTTCCAGTTGCTTATCATCCCTTTCATGTCTGATTCCGATTCCCGTTATAGTGTGCTCTCTGACTTCCCTCTTTTCCGTTTCCCTTCACGATTCCATGTTAGGGCTCGCTTCGGGATGCAATTAGATATTTTCCGCATTATATGTCCTATCCACTTCCAACGTATTTTCTTAATTCCATCTTCAGCTGGAGGCTGGTTTATTCACTCCCACAGTAGGCTGTTACTGATGATATCCGAACAACGGACATTGGACAGTGGACAGTGGACAATTGTTTATAAATACTTGTACCTTTTGATGATGGTTGTGATAGTTCTCCGAATTTCAGCTCCATACAGTGGAACTGTGTTGACTTTCGTGTTAAATATTTTCACTTTGATATTGGTTATATAAAAGTTTCTTAAAGTAATTCTCACTCTTCATATTTCTTTATGATAAAGAATGTTCATTGTGTTTGTATTACATTATGATGGAGAGCAGTTATCAAATTATATCATGTACTATCAAATAAACAATTCTCTAAGTTTTTATACATCACCGGTTGATTCAACAAACGTATGTTTATGTTGCATTGAACACGTGATTATTGTCAAGGAAAGCAAAAG